TATAAATATTTTACATAGAAATGAAGATCTCAGTAGTGAAGTTGAAAGCATAATAAATATAAATGACAACAGTGTAGATAGTGAAAATTCAAGATTTGATTCAAGCTCTCAAGATTCAAATTGTAGTGAAAGTCATAGTGACATTGATGAAGAGCAACCTTTACAATTTGCTAATGATAACGAAAGGGGCCAGTATGTGGTCAGAATTTTGCGTGAATGGGTTCGAGAAGGAGGCATTATATCAATGCGGAAGCTTGATTCTTTACTTGCGAAGTTTCATCGTGCGTTCCCTAATGTACCACTTAGTTACAAGACACTTTTGCAAACTCCAAACCAAATTTATATAAATGAGGTTAATGGCGGAGAGCTATGGTATAAAGGGATAGCTTCCAACTTAGATCTAATGAATTTAGACGAATATCTAGAAAATTATTCTGAAATTTTCATTGACATTAACATTGATGGCCTTCCCTTATTTAAAAGTACTTCAGAAAGATTTTGGCCCATCCTTGGACAACTTGTAACATCAAAAAGTGAACCTTTTATCATAGCTATTTTCAAAGGAAATCGAGATCCTGATATGAATGACTTGTTCAATGAATTTGTGAGAGAGATGGTTGATTTACATAGAAATGGATATGTACGAAATGGTGTGACCTACAAATTGTCAATTAGACATTATATTTTGGATGCACCTGCTCGAGCCAAGGTAAAAGCTTGCATTGAACATGGTGGCTATTGTGCCTGTGAGAAATGTGAAGTAGTTGGAGAGTATATTGATAATAGAATGACTTATATGGAACTCGATGAAACTCTCAGGACAGATCAGTCCTTCCTTAATCAGGAGCAACCTTATCATCATACTGGCCGTTCACCATTGGAAGTGATTGAAGCTGGTTTAGTTTCCCAGTTTCGTTTGGATAGTCTTCATTTGGTGTACCTTGGTGTTTTTAAACGATTAATTCTGGCTTGGAAAAAATGGAATGGACCTTGGAAGTTACGTCACAATACAATAGAAAATATGTCTCAGAAGTTGTTGAGGCTGAAAAGTTCCTGCCCTCGAGATTTCAATAGACCGCC